TCTCACTTTAGCGCAACTCCAACATTACATCGTTCCATATATTGAGAACTTTGATGCTTTTATTGGCACTGCTGAATGCAAGAATTGCAAAATATTGCAAGAAAAGGGCAACTCAGACAGATTTACTGCATTATACGCATGCTCTTTTGTAGGGTTCTTATCCATTGTATTTTTTTAGGAATAAATAGAGATGATATATACATTCAGGTCAATTTAAGTTTGATGCCTGGAATTATACAATTTCTCATTTTCTTCAATGATAGATGTTTGCACAGTGTCAACACTAATACAGCCCGAGTGGGGAGCTATTTTTGCTGTGACCCCACAGTAGGTGCACACCAGGGTCACAACTGGAGCATATGGGATATTCTGGGGGTACAAGTGTGCACTCCTGTAAAGGAAATTTTGCTACCATTCCAGAGTTACACTTGGTGCACAAATGTGAAATAACAGGATGTAACTTATTTGTTTACAAATGTGACCATGAGTAATCCTGGTGTGAACACACAATTGGTGCACATTGGGGATATGCATGTGCAACAGAAGAACTTTGGTACACTTCAGGTGCACAGCAGGGTCACTGTGTAGAATTACCAGCAAATCGCTGGTGTGCACCAATTTCCCCACTTGGGAGTATATACATGATATCTATTGCCATAAACTAGCTTGCATAAAGTTGAGTTCTGTGTAATACAGTACTGCACAATATTGTAAATTTCTTAATTACAGTAACACATATTATAGAGATCCATCATAAAATTTATATTTGGGCAGATATATATTGTATCTGCCCACACCAAAAAAATGTCAGACATTCAGAACAAAGGTATGCTGTAGATACAGTAATTAATTTATTTGTGAATACATTGATTTATAGATATCTGGGCCAAATTTAATCTTATTCTTTTCTGAAAGCTTATTATGATATTAAATCTGGAATAAAGATTTCCAAAGGTGGAATGAAAACTTATATCAATTTTCCAGATATTTTGGCTGTGAATAAATTTATTTTCAAGTGGACTCTTCAAAATAAAAGTTTTTCTACACAGAAAAACCAGTGTAGACAAGATTGTTGCAGAGAGAATGCACCTTTATATATTTAAAGATCAAATATCTGCCCCGCCTAAAATTCGCAGTAAGGGTTAAAAATGGGTATGGGACTTTTTATTTTTCTATGAATGTTAAAAAAATACTCATGACTTTTTTGTGCTTTATTGCAGAGATACTCATTCCAAATGATGTATNGATTGCTGATATTTGCGACGCTTTTTGCCTTAGCTCGTTGCTTTTTCCGTTTACGCTTTGGTCCTGATGATGACGGGTTTCCTGACGACGCTGCTGGTGGAAACTGCTGCTGATGAGCAACTGCGGCTTCTCCAAGTCTTGGTGTGTCCTGATGTCTCACTGCTGGTGTGTTCATGGCTTCCAATCTTTGATTTAAAAACAAGAAACATTTTTGCAAATTATTTTTGGTATTTCCTTGTACAGTAGTTGAAGTGGCACAATCCTCAGGTTTATAAAATTTTATGGCACCAATTCAACATAACCCAAATCAAATTTTTGCAAAAATACAGCCAACCCCCATCTAATGGACTCAATTTTTGCAATAGACAATTCTGTTGGAAGAAAAGTCCTTTAGACAAATGCAATTACTGTATATAAAAATTACAAAATTTATTTGTCAACACTAATGATAAACCAACAGAAGTCTGTTTGGCAGATTTTGTCTATGGGTTGGAGGAAAAAATGGCTGCAGAGGTGGTATGTTAGGAAGAAGTCCCTTATGCGGGAGGTCTGTTATGTGGGGGCACTGTATTTATACCAATTGCATTACAGTATCTACATGATGCAGGTGGTGCCTCACAATTCAACTGTAATCTGGTGCCTGGGTAGGGTTGAATTTTGAAGTGGTCAAATTGCAAGACAATGTCAACTTTGATGTTTTATGCATCAAATTTGACATTTTGGGTCTCTCTGCAGGTCAAATTATGTGACAGAGGTCAATTTGCATGTTGATGTCCCAGAAAATTTGGCCTTCAAATTGCAGGATGGTTGAATTGTGGGATGTCAAATTGCAAGGTACCACCTGTACTGAGAAACTTGGTTCTATTTTTTGGTAAATTTGTTTGTGAGCCCAAAATGCCTGAATTCAAGTATGAAGGTACAGTATAATATTTTCAGTTGAAATACAGTACATTTGGTCCCTGGCCATGAGTTATAAAATATTCATATAAATTTTTTGCATTGACAATTTTTCTTGCCAAAAATTTCAATAAAATATTATTTGGTCTCACAAAAAAAAAAAGCTTCCAGACAACATATGCATGGATCTCAGCAAGTTTTGAGCTCTTTTGCAATGCTAGTCTTGCCCTTTCAGACAAATTCAAATATTTATTCAGTTGAACCTCAATAACTGAAAACTCTCAAAGCTGAATACATGTGGTAATTTCCTATGTCTTTTTTATTCAAATTACTTCCATATGATTTCCCCAGAAAAAAGTACATTAAAAACCTTCCTAGCTTAAAGGCTTTCCCTTTCTCAAACCTGCACAACTCAAATTTTCTGGAGTCCTTTCAGATATTATTTTATTGGCACAGGAGAGTGAAGAGCAATACAACTGTAAAGCAATGCATTTTGAAGAAAGTGCAGTTCTAATTGGCAAAGAAACCCTTGCCTTCAAGTTCAGCATCCTGTCAACTCATTTAAAAAGCAATTAAGACAAACATATCACCAATTACAAATATTATAGTGCTTCTCTTTTTTGCCCTAACAGAAATGCTTGTTTGCCAAATTCTAAGCCTCTGTAACTCAAATTATTTTGCTGGTTCCTTTTGAAGTTTGATTTAAAGAGGGTTGACAGTACATTGGAAACTTACTCAAGATTGACACATTTTTTGTCAATAAATTTTCAGCGTAGAATTTTTTTTATTATTTCATTCAATTTATGGCGATAAAAAATATCATGTGTGGAATGGGACACACTGAATTTCACTGATCTGTTCTTCTTTTACCTCAAATTTTACCTACTTTCCGTGCACCTACCAGAACTGTGAATTTCATTTTTCCGCATTCTGCTGAAACTGATTTTTGGAGGCAGTTAGGTAAAGTTAGATTAGGTCAGGTTACGTTAGTTACATATATCTTTCAATTAACGTAACCTGACCTAACCTAACTTCCCAGCAAAAATTTCATATTGCCGCCTGAGATAGCAGCTATTTTTATGCGTATCCTGGCCGTTTCAGGTGGTGGTCAAATGGTTTTGGATGCAAGTAGGGAAATGTTTTCCTGACGCGGTCAGGATGGGGTAAAAAACGTTTTTAGGTGACACTTTTGAAAGCGTCAGAGTCTGACGCTTTTGAAAGCGTTTTCAACCTAGTCAAAAACGTTTTTCCGTGACGCTTTCAAAAGCGTCAGAGGCTGACGCTTTCAAAAGCGTTTCTTACGCTGTTAAAAATGTTTTTCCATGACGCTTTTGAAAGCATCAGAGGCTGACGCTTTCAAAAGCGTTTCTTANGAACCTCAACAACTCAAAACTCTCTAAGTTGAATACACATGGTAATTTCCAATGTCTTTTTTTCAAATTCCTGTCATCTGAATTCCCTAGAAGAAAGAAACATTAAGAACCTTCCTAACTCAAGGCTTTCCTTCTCAAACCTCTACAATTTGAATTTTCTGGAGGCCTTTGGGGTATTATTTTATTGACACAGGAGAGTGAAAAGCAATACAAATGTAATGTGATGCATTTTTTGAAGAAAGTCCAAGACTGATGGGTCAAATAAACACTTGCCTTCAAGTTCAGCATCCTGTCAACTCATTTAAAAATCAATTTAAGAAATAAACAATCACCAATTACACATTTTATTGTACTTCTCTTTTCTGTCCTAACAGAAATGCTTGTTTGCCAAACTCTATAAGTCTGTAACTCAAATTATTTTGCTAGTTCCTTTTGAAGTTTGATTTAAAGAGGTTTGACAGTACATTGGAAACTTGCCCAAAATTGATACATTTTTTGTTAATACTTTTTCAGCGTAGAATTTTTTTATTATTTGATAAATGTATCAAAAGTAGCAATGAAGTCTGTTATTGTTATCTGAATTTTGAAAAGACAATATGGCTATTGAAATTATCAGATGAAAAATGAAAGTCAGCTTTTCTCCTGCAAATGCTTCAGACAAATTTGCATGTGCTGAAATTAATTATTTTGATTTTTTCATTCCAACAAACCATTTTTCAAGTCCACCTTCCTAGTTTTATGCAGACATTCCACTGATAAAGTTTCTTCATAGATTTTTGACTCAGCTTTTGCAATGAACATTTGCTGGTTCCTTTTGAAGTTTGATTTAAAGAGGTTTGACAGTACATTGGAAACTTGCCCAAAATTGACACATTTTTTGTCAATAATTTTTCAGCGTGGATTTTTTATTTTATTTTATTCAATTTATGGCGATAAAAAACATTATGTGTGGAATGGGACACACTGAATTTCACTGATCTGTTCTTCTTTTACCTCAAATTTTACCTACTTTCCGTGCACCTACCAGAACTGTGAATTTCATTTTTCCGCATTCTGCTGAAACTGATTTTTGAAGGCGGTTAGGTAAAGTTAGATTAGGTCAGGTTACGTTAGTTACAAATATCTTTCAATTAACGTAACCTGACCTAGCCTAACTTTACCTAACCTCCTCCCAAAATCAGTTTCAGCAGAAACCCAAAGAAAGCAGTAACTGATTTTGGGAGGCAGTTGGGTGAAGTTAGGTTAGGTCAGGTTATGTTAGTTACAAATATCTTTCAATTAACATAACTTGACCTAACCTAACCTAACAAATACTGAATTCACAAGACAAAGAAAAATGGGTACTGAGATAACAGGAAAGTACCCAAATTTCAACTGATGCACTCACAAAATTGCATATTGAAGAATCGCTTATTGTTCACAAAAGCCAACAGCAGTGTGTTCCTTGCTTCGATTTGGTCACGTATGATGATTAAATTGTAATGCTCACTTTTTGAGGCGTTGATGAAGTTCCTGGACTTGTTGCACCAGGTCCTGATTGACAGCTTTCGCCGCCTCCGCAAACGGGGAATCCAGACGCTCGTAAGGCAAGGACATGCCCTCGCCATTGTCCTTGTCGTCGTCGGGAAACAATTGCGAAGTGACGATGAACGGATTGACGAGCGGGGTTTTGAGCGGAATGACTGCATCTTTTCGATCTTCGGAAACTTTCGGGTGCGTCTGATTAGACATTCCTTCCTGCCGCTGCGTGTGAAAAAAATATGACTGCTTCAATTTTTGTGCATATGAGTGTAATCGGGAGCTGCAAACTTCGCAGCAGATTCGTAACGCCTGAATCTGCATTTTCGTAACATTCGCATCATTAAAAAAAGCATTAATTATTAGGTAACAAATTAGATATTCTCTAAAATAAAAAGTGGTCCCCGGTCTGAACAGTGGTTCATGGACCAGCACTAGTCTGCAGAAGTTTTATTTTTGCCAGTCTGCAGGAAATTTTCTTTAGGAGAATAAATGTATCGAAAGTAGCAATGAAGTCTGTTATGGTTATCTGAATTTTGAAAAGACAATATGGCTGTTGAAATTATCAGATGAAATCAGATTTGCTGAAATTAATTACAGTTGGACCTCTCTAAGTCGAATTTCAAGGGACCAGGGAAAAAATTCGACTTAGGGAGGTTTTGACTTAGGGAGGTTTTGAAAACAGGGAAGAAAAAAATTTTTTGAAATGAAGTATTGGGGGAGTGTGACTACAACTCTGGGATAGGGCACATATTGATCCCTATATAAGTCAAAACAAGGTTAAAATGAGATTCTTTCTCTTCTCTCCAAAGGAAAACTCTGAGAAATTTCTCCCCAAGGATTAGGGATTACAGATTAGGAATGCACAGGAAGGAAGGGGTTATTTCATGTGTTGGGAGATTATTTCTTTCACTTTCTCTCATGCATTAGCCAAACCCAGGAAGGAATTCCAGGGACAGGAATTGTAGGATAAATAG